TTGAGGCCATTTTCTTTGTTAACTTCTTGGATTTTATATTTTCATCAAAACCTTCCCTAAACTTCCTCATCCTATTATTTGCTAACATTAAAAAAGAAATTCACTAGTAACAGTCTCTGTGATTAGTAACTGTTAAGACTGGTAACTGTTAGCATTCTTCCTGAACAAGTTCAGTTTCTTCAATCAAGTGTAGCATGTAATTGCCATTTCCTTTTGTTCATTCATTTAATGTTTTTCAGAATGGAAAAAGCAAACAAAATATATCAAATGGTCCTCTGCCTTCTCTGCTGGTTGGCCGCCTTGAGTCCAGGCATGGGGCGAGTCCAGTCATGTAACGCATGTTCATGGGGAACATGGCACTACACCATTTCTAGGCGACCTGCTTCTGGATTGGGGTTTTCTACCTAACAGAGCAGCTCCCTAGATGCAATCTATTGAAAGTCAGCCCTCCACACAAGGATTTGTAAAAGCATTAAAAGAGAAAAAATAAAACAAAAAAGAAATAAAGAAAAAAAATATATCCAGTATTACAAAGTGACAAATAAGGGAAGTTTTAAAAACCCAAAGTTAAACATGGCCATTTTTCACTGTTTCAATATTTGCATATCCAGAAACTACTTTGAGTTTTACAACCTAACAAGATAGAGGTTAAAATGAGGCATAGAGAAGTTAACTGACTTGCTTAAAGTTACAAAGTAAGTTAATGACAAAGCCCAAATCTTTGGACTAGACACCCAGTTGTCTGTTCACCATTGATGATTATCTTCCTAAACAACCCGTCTTTCTGGATTCTCTGCTACAAACTCTTGGTTTAAAAAGACACACTTTGCATGTCAAAGTCAAGACTTACTGCAGCAGGACTGTGGCCAGAAATGTACTTGTCCCACTACACTGACTCACTTTGCTGAGGTAAAAAATGGATCTCACCCAAATACATTCTATCCCCACTTTCCCTGAATAGGAGACATTTATGTCTTGGGTAGCACAGAAAATCTAAGGAGTTTAATCATCAAGTCTTTATATACCCTGAAGCCTATGGTTTAGAGGAGAATAAGGTGGAAATTTCCCAGCATTTCAGTTGTGTTGGGATGAATAATTAAATTAAGAGTATGTACCTCTAGCCTTCTCACCTTCACAACTGACAGCCAAGAATGCCTGGCTATTTATCTCCAAAAAACTGTTTCCAAAGAGGAGAGCAAATGATTTTTTAAAATGCCAAAAACAGGGGCTGAGTTTGTAGCTCAGTGGAAAAGCACTTGCCTAGCATGTGTGAGGAACTAGCTTGGATACTCAGTATCACAAATAAATAAATTAATTAAATTAAGGTATTGTGTCCATTTACAACTAGGAAAAAAATATATATATATAAAAGACAACTTAGGTCAAATTTACTGTTCAATCATGTGTACTTAAAAAATGGCTATTTGGGGCAGGCACAGTGGTGCACGCCTGTAATCCCAGCAGCTCAGAAGGCTGAGGCAGGGGGATTGTGAGTTCAAACCCAGCTTCGGTAACTTAGTGAGGCCCTGGGCAACTCAGGGAGACTCTGTCTCTAATAAAATATTTTTAAAAAGCAAAAACACTTCCCCAGGAGGTCAATATTGAGATAGCAGCCTTCATATTTACTTCAGACTCTTACTTTTTGTATGACTATCAGGGTGTGTGTTTAAATATTTCCACATTTGGCAACCAGGATGTATGACCTCCTTTTCTTACACATGCCCTATTGAGACATAGGAAGCACCCTGCCAGCCTCTTAAAATGAAACACATTTTGAATAGCCTTCCTGTAATCAGGAATAAGCTTACCCATGTTGCTATCAATTTTTCTATTGCTGTAATCCCAAGTTATAAGTCTATAACAAGATAGACAGACCTGTCCGTCAGACTAGAATAGGTTATTTATATCTAGTATTCTCTAAAACAAGGTATAGGCAGGACAAGTGCAAAGTGTTTAAAAGAAAACAGTAGTTCACTAGGGTACCAGGCTAATAGTGAAAACACAAAGGAAGAGGGCTAAAACTTGGCCATGTCTACTTAAGACTGGGAATAAAATATATTACCTGTTGAATTTTAAGAGCTCTTTGCAACTTCAGCACCACAGACTCAGCTCTGCCCTGAAGCTCTTCTGTAACTGACTTTTATAGCTGTAATTAACCAAAGCTGGGTGGGACAGATTTACTCCTTCTCTATAATGTTATCATTACCAGCTCATGGCTAGCAGCTAGTAGCAGTTCTCGCCCTCTTGCACTAGATGCCTGGCCTGCACAATTAGCACCTTATTATAGGCTGGCCTCTTCTAATTACCACATGGCTCAATTGAGCATTTTATTTTATTGTCTTGTTCATGCACTAGTTCAAGGGCCTGGGGTCCCCAACTATAATAAATCCTAAACTCCTCTTAGGCAGGTGTTTTGGTTTTATTAACTTAGGCCCATAAGAACATTGGCATACAACATCTTTCTGACTGAAGAGCTTCTAGATGTCTATGCTGGAAGTATGGCACATGGCTGGAATCTAGTTCTCCTACTCAATCATATGTACCAGAGTTATCAGCCTTCTTTGCTATTGAGGACTCTGTCCTTAGCTGTTTGAAGTTAAGCTCTGCTTGCATATCACTTTGAACTTTATCTAACTTGGTGGGCTGAAATAGACAGGGGAACTTCCCATCAGCACTGCATTCCATGTTCCTCTAGAAAAAGGATTCAGGCTCCTTGCTTTGGATTAAACCTTGCTGTAGTTTACAGAGAGGTTACCAATTCTGTAACAAACATGGGCCTCTTTGAATTAAATGGAGTTTGGGGAGATGCTCCAGATGTCATGGTTAGGGGTATAGGTGTGGAAGCCAGAATAGCTGAACTCAAATCCTGGCTCTGTCATTTATTAGTTATGGGATTTGTGACCCTGCTCAAGGCACTTAAGCTCTCTGTGCCTCAGTTTCCCAATCTATAAAATAGCATTCATAGGGCTGTTTTGAGGACTGAATCTTTAAGTGCTTAGAACAATGCTTGGCACATAATAAGAACTATGAATAGTGTTACAGAAATTTAATGAGATAAAGTGTTTTAAAATAGACACATCTACAAAATAGTATGCTCCCAGAAGAGTCTGACAATGATGGAAAAAAGTTGGCTTAACAGAATAATGGGCCATCCCATTATTCTGGGGGGGCATAATATGTTCTTTGAATGGCTTCAATAAGCTAAAAAGCTAAGAACTCTGAATTTATAAGTTTTGAAGACATCTAATGCCATATCACAACAAAGGTGACAAACATGTTCTGGCAGCATTTAAGTAGAATGGTTAGTAAAGGAATAACTGTTTTAGTAGATAATTTAAAATAAGCACTGTTGTTTACATTTCTTCATACATATTTAGCCTAACATATCAGAAATCACTCATAGCATTATTCAGCAAATACTACTAACTTCTTCAGCAACGAACTTCTGTCAGTTGTCAGAGGGATGGTTCAAATACATGTGCTATACTTTTAACAAATTTTTATTATTTTTGAAGTGCTGGAGGTTGAACCCAGGACCTTGTGCATGCTAGACAACTGCTCTACCAGTGAGTTATAGGATCAGCCCTGTTCTACGTGTTTAGAGACCCACTCAATGATTTTTATACAAAAATGATTTCATGGTATTCAAACTCAAGACTTTTCTTCCTGTGTCTTTTCTGCTTTGTCACCTTTTAAATCCTCACCTAATAGTCCTAGCTATTAAAATCTTATTTTCAGGATCTTTCATTTCTGAGCAATAACTAGCCCAAACTACCATATTTAACATAAGAAGTCTCTTGTTATCTCACCACACAGAGTTCCTTACATAGAATCCAGCTGTCTAACCACATGCAAAGGCATCTATGCACCACAACAGGTGGAGCACCTGTGCCTTCTGCAGGAAGGAAACCTTTCCCACCTCACCTCTCCAGTTTCCCTGGAGGGCAAAATCCAACCCTATGTCTTTCCTTTTAAGTGCATCTGTAGAGAACTATGCAGAGATCTAAGTGATCGAAAGCTAACATAAAGTCTTTTCTTAGGAGGCTCCTAATAGTTATCTGTGAAACTGTATGTGAAGCTATTATCTGAAACACCAACTTTTTTTTTTTTTTTTTTTGGATGGTTAATCTGTCAAGGGTAACTTTCATTTTTGAGAACAGGGGAGATCCCTCAAAAAAATGGGACCTCGGGAAAGTTTCAACTATCTCGGATCAACTCACACACACCCGCCCCCATTTATCTATAGGGATCCTCTGAAACTTATACGGTACTCTGTCCCCTCCTCCTGTGACACCAGCTTCACCTTGCTGGTATCCTCACTGGATATCCAGGCCGATATTCCTACTTAACCACCGCGGGTAGCTGGCTTTTTTTTTTTTTTTTTTTTTTTTTGCGGGCAGCTGTCCACAGCTCCGAGATCACTTTCACCAAGCTGGGGCTTCTAAGGAGCGCAATGGACCCCTGGACACTGCACACCTCGCCAGTGCCAGTTACAAAGACCCTTCCTCCTCTCAATTCTCTTTTTGGGACAATGCTCTGGCTAATGCGCAAAGGCTAACGCGAGGTCCTAGATCAGCCCTGGATTCAAGAAAAGCAGGGAGAAAAAGAGAAGTACAGAGGGTATACAAGGTGCAGGTAGAATGAGAGGAGGCGAAGCAGGGAAAGATCAGAGGGAGGGCTGGAGGGGTGAGGGGGCCTTAGGATTCGTTTCCACTCCTGGCCAGACCCTTCCCATGGAGAATGACCTGAAGAGGGCTTCAGCGCCTCTTTTCAACCATCCCAGGGACCAAAGAAGTAGAGGGGGCGGGGAGACAGCCCTCCCTTGGCCAATCACGATGTCTGCCTCCCCTCACTCGGGGGGCTCTCTCGGTCTCGGTCCCAGTGGTCTGTCTCTCTCACACACAGCCAATCTGCTACTTCAACTCCGGCGAGTCCTGGGCCGGCACTCTCGCTACACCTCATCTTCTTCACCCCAACCCCAGTCTCCGATCCCAACTGACCGTGAAGCCGGAGGCGGTTCGCCAGTCCCAGACCCCCGGGGGGGCTCCCGCGGCCGACGCCGTCGCCTCTTGCTGCAGTCCCTCACTCGGGACCTGGCTTCGGGCTGCGGCAATGGCTCCCCGGCACGAGGCGCCACGGCTCGCCCGACTCAGCCAGATACCGGACGGCGCGCAGAAGCCCATCGAGCTCCCGGCGGCTGTGGCGGCCGCGGCTGCAGGGGCGGCAGCCGCGCAGGCTGATGACGCGCAGCGCGGGGGCGCGGGCGACGCGGGCGGATGACGCGGCGCGCGGGGCGGCACGGCAGCATGGCGTCTGTGGTGCTGAGCGAGGCGGAGAAGGTGTACATCGTGCACGGCGTCCAGGTAGCGGAGGCTGTCCTGCGGATTGCGGCTGGCCCTCGAGTCGCCGGGGAGGAGACTGGGGTGACCTTGTGGTTAAACAGCTCTGCGGTCCGCGTTTGCAGCCCAAAGCTGGCAGCGTGGGAGTTTTTAGGAGATGGGGGTGAGCGTCCGCATAAGGACCGATCACCCTTGGACCTTTCTGGGTTAATAAGATTCCGACTTCAGCAGGAATCCTTATGCAGTCCCTGGGGCAGTTCTCAGCGAGGAGCATCGTTTCCACGGCCATCCATTCAGCCTCCGCACGCTTTACTAGACCAAGCCTCAGGTTTCTCCCCTAGGAAACCGGGATCTGGGGGTGGGCATCTGGCCCGCTTTCCCTCACCTCGTGGATGGGAGGTGCAGAGAGCATGCACCTGAGGCGAAGGAGCTTAGGAAATATAAATCGCTTTAGGAATAAAGGGAGAAGAATTTTTAAAAAGCGACTTGGCAGTTGGTGGCATAATTGTTATAGTTTTCCATTTGACAGTGGAGAACTAAAATCCCCAGGCAGCTGTAACTGAAGATCTTCTGTGCTCAGTCTTCAACCCCTGGTTTTGACCACTCCAGAACAAGGGTTGAGGACTGTTGTACCTGGCAACGATATACCGGTACCACCCTCTGAGTCTATTCACACTTGTTAGCTCCCTGTGTCCTTCTCCCATCAGAATTCTAAAGCACACCTCTTTCCTTCGTGCCTTTCCTCTGCCGTGACCAAATGCAAAGTCAGTATTCCCATGATGTAGCAATCAGATTAAATTAACCCTCTGTCACTTAATGTGAGTAAAGGCCATGCCTCCTTTAAAATTGTGACCTGGTGTTCTGTGCCCTTTATAGACTAAGAAACGTCAATAATTAGTTACCAGATTGCATATTAAACCTGGATAATAAAATCGGAACTTACAATCTCATGAGCTTTTTAGTTAGAGGATTAGGAATAGTGGAATATATTGGAAATGAAGTAAAGAATGCTGAACACCTGGCTCGTGGTCAGCCCTGAAAAAATGTTAGCTCCCTTTCTTTTTTTTTTTTTTTCCCATATATCTAATTAGCTTTTATTCACAATTCATGAATCAGGGCAGCCTCCATTCTGTTAGCTCCCTTTCAAGTTTTTTTTTTTTTTTTTTCATCAGTGATAAGGCTTTATCCTAAACCACTCATACTGAATTCCCGGTCTTCATAGTGACTCCATTAAGGACTTAGCCTTTGGCTATTGGGACTAAATTCTTTTGATTTGGGAGCTAGGAATTCTTAAATTATATCACGAAAAGAGGTAGGAAGTACCTTGGGGTCTCTGGAGCACAGGCTCTCCTGTATTCTATGGATCACATGGTTTATGTGGCTATCAGACTGTCTCTGGTGATACTTCTTTTCTCTGCGAAAGTGTATATCTTTTCTGTGACTACTTGCTGTCCAGCTTCCTTTCTATCTTGGTGAAATCTGTACACCTCCTCCACCTTAACTTTTGTGTGACCTCTCTAGCCTCCTATCACATCATGACCTGTCAGCCCCCGTTTAATTCCTCTCTTCTCTCAAATGTTTCCCAGATCAGCGGTCAGATTCTAGTGAGAGAATTGGTTTGGCCTTCTAGTATTTCATGATTAAAAGTTAGTCATCTTATGGATAGTATGCTTTTGGGTTGCCTACCTACTTCTGACCCTGGCTATTTTGGGTGGATGATGATTTGGTTATGTGGCTGTTACAGAACTGTAGGTACAATGGGCTTTTCCATGTTCAGCCTATTAAGTTCTGTGTCCATAACCTGGTCATTAAACTGGCCCCCATAGGGTCAGACCAGGCCATGGCAATTGATTAGCTTATGCATCCTTGGAAAGGAAAATTTGTAGCACCAAACAGGCTTTCCTCTTGGAGCTCCAGGAAAGCTGATTCATTGTATGTTCTTGGTTATTGAAGGGAAATGTAGCTCAGCCAATGGTTTCCATTTCTTTTCTGTAGATTTAGCTTTTATCATAATGTGTGCCTGGGGCACAGCACAGAAGAGAGGGAACAGGGCTTGAGCCTGATCTTCAGCTATGAGATTGAGAAGTCAGCATTTAATTGCTCAACCTGGCAATGGCAGAACTGGAATCATCCTTCAACACTCTTGCTTTTTAGCCCTGTGCTCTTTCTATTTACAAACCCGTGGCACAGAAAGTCTGTGTCTAGGCACTGTGGGGTGCAGCCTTGTGGAGCCACATCCTTTCAAAGAAATGCAGGACTACTCATGAGGCTTGGAAACTGGAATGAGTGTCTATTTTTGCTGTGTCTTGGACTTGGGCCTGCAAAACTGGACTAGAAGAGGTTTGAATCTCAGTTCTCCTGTAGAAAGCTCTGAGGTACTAGATAAGCAAAACAAGGTAGATGAGAGCTTAGCTGAGAGGACCACTCCCAGTCTGAAACTCTCCAAAGTATAGTGGATTAGGAACATTGGGAGGCTGAGGCAGGAGGATTACAAATTTGAGGGCAGTCTCAGAAACTTAGACCCTCAGCAACTTAAGACTTTTTCTCAAAATTAAAAAAGAGCTGGGGATGTAGCTCAGTGGTAAAGCGTCCTTGGGTTCAATCCCCAGCACACTCCTCCTCGAAATAAAAGTAATAAGACTAGGGACTGGGGTTATGGCTCAACAGCAGAGTGCTCGCCTAGTGTGTGTGAGGCCGTGGGTTCGATCCTAAGCACTACATAAAAATATATACATAAATAAAATAAAGGTATTGTGCCCCACTACAACTAAAAAATAAAAAAAAATTTAAAATAGTAGGACTGGATTACTTAAGCATGAGGCAAAACAGCTCTGAGGCTGAGTTCATGTCTTCTCTTACAAATAGGAGATAGACACTTAGTGCCTCGATTTTCTAATGTATAACCCCTCTCCAGGGATTTTAAGGACTTCCTGAGTGAATACATGCTCCCAGTAACAGGGGAAAGAAATGGTTACCCTGTGCAGGGGGCTCCCCTGAAATGATTTATAACCTTTGGATCCTCCTATAACTGTGTTATGTTGAGGTTATTCTTGCTTTATAGATGAAGAAACAGACTCAGAGGTCTTAAAGAACTTGCTCAAGGTCACCAAGCTGGTATGTTAGAGTCCAGACTTAAATATTCAAAGGAAGGTCCTTGTGATAATAGCTATGTGTGTTGCCAAGAACTAGCCCATCATAGGGAAACCTTGGATCTAGAAGGAGCTTCGGTCTCCTCTGCTTGGAGGACTGGTCTTCAGTCTATGGTGTCCATCAGCTTGATTTTTAAAATGGAACTTTCAATTCAGGACAACCTGTGTTTAAATGTTTATGTGTGGGTTAATTTCTTTGCTCTTGAGTGTTGCTGATAAATAAAAATCATGGTAGGGCTCTAGGCTCTGAGCCAGGCCAGGCAGGTTTGGATGATTTCCTGTCTTTTAAAAGGAAAATTGGATTTCAAAAAAGTTGCCCTGGGTACAGTCGTTCATGCGCTTAGTTAGGTTTTGTGTTTATTTTTCTTCTATTCTTTTAGATGTGCCTTATGCATTCTTGGAAGGGAAAATTTGTAGCTTTTCATTTATTTTTTATTTTTCCTCTGAGCCTTTTCCAGGAGGCAGAAAAATTAAGAGCTGGAAAGGCAAGATATAATGAGGCCTCATTTTCTTTTCCATCTGAGTATAAGTGAGTTTAGTTATAGGTAGACACAATACCTTTATTTTATTTTAATGTGGTGCTGAGGATAGAACCTCAGTGCTTCACGCATGCTAGGCAAGCACTCTACCTCTGAGCCACAACCACAGCCCCTGATTGGCATTTTAAAAGCAGTATTTAGGAGTCTGTGACCTTGTGGCCTACTTGCTTTCGGGAGCTAATATCATCATCAGGACCACCTAGTAGAGCCAGCTGCTTGGTCATGGAACAAGACTGTGCTGACTGCTTTTGTACAGTGGAGAGACCCTTAGGAGGCAGCAGGCTGTATGAAATAGAGGGGAAGTACTCTGGCTTGAAGTTCAAATGCTGCTTACTGGCTTTTTGCTCTCAGGCCTATTACTTGGCATCATTGAACTTCAAGTTTCCCCATTTGTGAAACGGAGTGAATAAATACTATCTAAAAAGGTTATCATAAAGATTAAATACATTAACTGTGTGGTGTTCCTAGCACATTATCTGATATAATGAATGCTCAGTAAATAGCTGGTATTGTAAATAATTGCAGCCATTTAAATTTATAGATCTGTACAGTTAAAGAATCACTTTTGAAACTGTCTAATTTGATCTTTACAAGTGAGGAAGCTAACCCAGAGTGGGAAGGGACTTGTCCTAAGTCAAATGGTTAGTTAATGGTGGGACAAGGCCTGGTCCCATCTGTTACTAATTCCCCTAGTGATTGTTCACTCTTGTGCCTTACCTGTAGCCCAGAAAAGAATCCTTGTAAATGATGTTTTGGGGGCTGGACATGCCTGGGACCTTGGACAAATGGGGATGGGGAGGAATGAGGTGTCAGAGATCGACTTGAAAAGCCTTTTAAAATGATTGGCATTTTAAAAGCAATATTTAGGAGTCTGTGGAAAGGAAAGGGGTGTGACGAGACAGTGACAGAGTTATAGAATCCTCTGGTGATGAGGGATCACTTTATGGCTCACTCTCCCATGCTTGACATTCTGTTGCTTTTTGAGTACATGTCCCCCGGACTTATAGACTGCTTCCTGCCAGGAAGTAGACTGGCAGTGATTCCCCCTGGTTTATGGAGTTTATTTTCTCTCATTAGAAGGAATTGAGAGGGTTCTAGAGCTGAAACAAATATGACAGATGGTTGTAGTTAGTACTGTGTGGTGGCAGCATGCAACAATGTTTTGTTTTCCTCTGTTTAATTTCTCAAAATAAAAAAAAATC